TTAATGGTCCAGTTGAGACGCATCATACTCCAGGAAAGGTTTAGATCACAAACATGACAGAACAATTTTTCATGCTATAAAACAAGCATTAAAAACCAGCACAATTTTTCTCACCAATTATGTCAATAATTGATTCTATGATTTCATCCTGCAGTAAATAAATTAAATGAGAGACTAAAAAGGTTCTTTTAGGTCATCTAGCCCATGCTCCCTACCAATACAGAGCAGTTCCTACAATCCATACTCCAGGTATTCTTCAACTGAGTTAATGATTTAATAATAGAGCTGTCACCACTTAGGAGAACGGAATAATCTCCACTCAGCTAAGTAAGTAAGCCTCACTCTCAGAGATTTTGCTTGATATCTATCCCCAATTTTCCCTGATTTAAATGTTATCCCATTATTCCAAGGTTTAACCTATCTTGTCCCATCCTCTGCAATTCCTGTCCTATTGTCCTTATCAATGCACTTACTTATATTATGATCAATAATTTCTTTAACTTTCATTTTGCCACATACATCTGTAATCTGGACAAAACACACACACAAGCGAGCTGGTTTCAGACATGTTTCCTGACTGATATTTCTGAAACTATTATCAGCAAAATTTAATAATATTTTAGGACCCATCACCAAAAAAAAGCAAATCTCCCACTAAAAACTAAAAGGATTGTACCTAATTCTTGACTATAGAATCAGGCCTGTTATAACTGTTCATTTAATTTTATTTATGAGGAAAAAAATAAGCGGGCCCCAAGCAAGCAAACAATACAGCTGCATCATCTACGTAAGTCATATCACAATTTACACCAGACAACTGAAGTTGCCAATGACTGATGCCATCTTGACTAATACACTTAAGACTGAACTGGGAACCTCCAGAACAAAAACCAGGAGTTGCTACAGCTTGAGTGAAAAGGTAAGGCTCTCTCACTCAAGTTATACATGACTCATTTCATGCACACTGTCATGGGTGGGAGGGGGAATTTAAAACACTCACAAGTAAGTTACATTGGTCAAAAAAATGGAGGAAAAACCTGGTTTGTGTGTGGAACAAAAGAAAAAAAGATACACAAGATATGCCAGACTCAGCATCCTCTTCATTTTTCCCTCCCACTGCTGATGTCTCTTCTTCCAAATGTCCCCAATATGACGGACCACTTAAGCCCCAGTACATCAAACTCTCTTCATTCAAATCTTTTCTAAAGGCTCATTTTTCTCACAACCCTCCACGCCTTACCCTAGCCTAAGTGAGTCAAATGCCTTCTCTCACCCAGCACTGCAGCAGAGAACAAATCCATGTCAACACTTTCCTTGGATCTCTTAGTCCACCTTTTATTATTTGTGTCTGTGTTTTAGATCCCAATTGCATATCAGGGTAGGACTTAAAATGTGTCCATGCTAGTAGATTCCAGTGTGGGATTGTGACCTTCCCTATCCCAAAGTATTTACAGTTACGGACCATTTTTCTTTGCATCCAATACAGTGTATAGCTCATTGCTGATTCTTAGCAAATAAATCAAGGGTGGGCAAAGCAGGGTCCATGGGCCAGACCCAGCTCACCAAACCATTTGATCCGGCCTACAGCCATCCTGCTGCTCCCCCACACCCAGGCCAATCAAGACCTGGGGACAGGAGGGAGCGCACAAAGTCTTCTCCCCCCGCCTGGGACGCATGGCACAAGCTGTTGAAAATGGCTGGTGGTTTCCTCTAGGCACCACGCACCCCTGGCAGGGTGGGGGAGGGAGACGTCATGTGATCCCCTATCCCTAGATCCTGATTAGCCTGGGGGCAGGAGAAGTGCACAAGGTCTCCTCCCCTCCAGGGATGGACTACACCTAGAAGGAATAGCCCCCTTCTGCCTGAGGCCCCCCTGCAAAGTGGCCCCCCTGCAAAAATTATTGCCCACTCCTGAAATAAGGTGTTGACCTTACAATCATGTTGACTTGTGCATATCTTTATTCACACAAGCAGTCCTTTAAAGCCTAATAGGGTTATTATTTGCATGAGTAAATACACACACTTGAGTTTTTGCAGGATCACGACATAAGTAACCTGAAGTTTCTACAAATCAGCTATTTAGGAGGAGGATTGACCTGATAGTTCTTGACTTTGCTCATTCATGGTTTTATGCAGTGTAGGAGTAGCAATGTCAGTCCCAGGATCTTGGGGAAACCATGTGGGTGAGGTAATATCTTGTAATGGATTGAGTTCAATAGCTTGTCTCCCTTACCAACAGAAGACAGTCCAATAAAAGACATTACCTCACCCACCTTGTTTCTCATTCATGGTAACAGATGATGACCTATAGTCTTTTTCCATTTCTGTTACTGCTGGGCAAAAACTGCAACACATCCCCATACATATTGCATTTGCCTGCATGCTACTTGGTGTTTGAATTTTTTATGTGCTTTCTAACTCTAATTTTTGCTAAATTATTATGTAGCATCTGAGAGCTAACACGTTAGGAAAAATTATTACTAATTATATAAATTCACTAATATAGGAACATGATAAAACAAGCGTACATGAAAACAATGAATACGAATGCAAGATGAGTATAAATACACAGGCACTGTATTTACATTAGGAACTATAGTAGCCCCCCATTCTATGAATCCCCTGATGTATAGATTTCTCATAAAACTTACATATCATTGATTTACAGAATACACTTTCATCCTATCACTGCAGTTCTAGCACTTGCTTCTCATAGCTTACAAAATCATTGCTGTAAAGGTTTCTCTCTTACAGCCAACAGGAGAACCATATATTAAATTACACGCTCACTCCCTTAATAAAAAAGGGGAGTATGGGGACGCCATTGCACAAAACAAAAGTCTAAAAAAAAACAAAAGGCAACTGGACTGCATGCACTGCTTTTCTTCTCCTTTAACTTAGCAACAACGAGGAAGGAAGGAAGGAAGAAAAAAAGAGAGAAAATAGGAGAATTAGCTGAGGAATGTTTACCCCTCGGGAAGAGAATTAGCTTAGCTGAGGAATGTTTACCCCTCGGGAATGGAGTTGCAAGATAAGATCACATAAAATGCACTGTTTTACACACTGACTCCATAACCATTGTGTTAGTGTTTGCAAACACTTTGATCAAAAGAAACAGGGAGTTTCATTGTCCACATTGCACTCATGTCACACATCCCTTAGCATTGCTATTCCAAGGAAAGTCTGCCAGAGGACAAAACCGTCTCAGTTACACAAGAGTAGCGCAGAAGCAAATATGCAGCAGTGAGGGGAAAATCAGCTCAGCTGCACACACCCTTCCTGTGCCCAGAGTCAGTCCTTGGAGTAAAACTTTGACAGGATCCTGCTGGGAGATGCTGCGAATTCTGCAGTGAAGAAAAGCTTTATTTTTACTGCTAATACGTTATACAACAGAAAGTAGATTTCTCTGGAGCACACTTGGATTGGAGTGATGATATGATTTTAGAAAAAGAAATATTTTGAACCTTGTTAATGGTTCGTGCAAACATCTGAAAGCACTTAACAAAAGTGGGCATTATCCCCATTTTACAGATAGGGAAACTGAAGCAAGTGACTTTCCCCACAGAGTTAAGAAGAGAATGAGGAAAGGACTCAGATTCCCTCTCCCCCATATCCTGTGCTCTGCACTGCCTCCAAAGAAAATGAGGACTGCACTGTGACACTGTGTTGGATTCCAGAGTTAATTTTAAAACACCCACATTTCTTCTATTTATGTCAAAAGAAAAACCAAGTGGATCACAAAAAGAAAGTTCAATAGTTAAGACTGGGAACAGCTGTCTAGAGCATCTAACAGTCCAGCTGTTGGTTTTAAAAGTATATATTCACTCACCCTACTCAAAAATAAATCTGAAATAACTGAAATAGCTAATAGCTAGTCATGCAACTCAAGTCACTTTTTCAATAACAGAGACAAGCAACAGATCTAACAAAAACCTACAATACACATAACAATAGCCCCCAGTGCCAATTTTTTTTCTTTTCCTATCACCAGTCCCAGAACTCACCAGCCAGAAATACACTTATTTTATAGCATCTTGGCATCATTAAGCCATAGCAAATTAAGATCTTAAACTGATAAGATCAATCATATTTGCTGCTACTTTCATCACTGAGATGGCAAACTGTAACAGGATTCCCTCCAGTTTTTTGTTATTAAAACTGTCTCTCAGGAAAGTACAATCAAATTACTACTTATTTGTTATTGTGTACTGACAATTGCAATGGAGTTTATTTAAAAAGATCTAGAGATGCTTACTTTTTTCAAACAACTCAGTGACACTTGGAATTAGCCATATTTAAAAGAGAATACTCTTAATTTAAAAAAATCAGACAAACATCCTGTGACTGATAAAAAGAAATGTGACACACTAACACAGAAATGTGAAGTGTGTGTTGTACCTTTATTTTTATATTTTATACAGATATTTTAATATGATTGAGCCTACCGCCTGTGGCTCTTTCTAATGTGTTAACCTAAAGATGTGGGGAAAGGGAAAGAAAGCATTTCACATATGCAGTAAGTCTGTTATTCAAATAGATCATCCATTTGTTCTTTTAAATACAAGAAAAAAAAGACAACAAAGTATTCAAAGACAATATTAAGTCACTATCTTATTTCCCTTTAAATCAACTCTTGAAATGCACCAAGCATTTGAAAGGCACCAAACTACCATAAATCCACATCTCAGTTGCGTCTTTCCCTCAATACCGGACACACATCCCTCCAACATCTGTATACGAAGGGAAATCAACACTGTCTGATGATCGTTCTGCAGACGGCAAGTCTCTCAGTAAGGATTTTTCACACGCAACCACCCCTCCAAAATAATTATCAAGCTTGTCGACAACTCCATGCACAGAAAAAAACCCGGAGTGATTCTTCCCTGTGGTACCATGCCCCCACAAAAAGCCCTGCTCAGAACCTTCCCCATCAATAGCACTTTTTTTACTTAAAAACACGTATTACTGCCAAGTTGATAACTAGAAATCACAGAACTCACCTGGGTTTGGGATTTTCCCCCTTCTCCTGTGAGACCATAAAAAAGACACAACGTGGGAGTCAATCACCTAGACATGGGGTAAGGCTAGCGGCTCCCTTGGGATGTCTGTATGGTTCCACCCCGCCCCCCCACTTTGCTTGGGAGTCACTCACTGCCCTAGTGCTTCAGCAGCAGGGGGAGGCGACTACAGTGTAGCACAATGAAATGCAGTGCAGAATCCTCCCCAGCCTGTTTTGCAATGACATCATCCCTATCGCCAGGGTGGGAGGGAGGAGGGGGAAGTCTCCCATTGGCCCTTAAGTTCGGCGGTGCGTCACTCTGGGATTTGTAGTTCCCTCCCATAGCTAGCGGCAAGCCCCAGGTGCACGGAGAACTACATCTCCTATAAGGTTCTGCGCCGCGCAGCCGCAAAGAA